TCACAATATCAACAAAACGTTGTGCTTTTATAAAATAAATAGGAAAACGGGATGCGCATTCTGCCATCTCGGTCTTGAACAGGAGCGCTGAATGATGAACTGAAACTCAGCGAATTGCCTCACAGACATGATAAATATATATATATAAAGTATATATATTTATATATATATAAAGTCTTTACACAGCAGCTTGGCTCCTTAAATTTTTAAAAACCAGCTAATTTCAAGACGCTGACATCACGTGGGTCACCCGCAGTGTAAGACGCTCAAAGCTCAAGACGTTCGGATAGACGTTCGGTTTGATGTTCGATCGGTCGGTCGGTCGTTCGAATGTTTGATTTTGGCACGAAGTGCGCGCCATACATACAGGACACCGTTATATGTGTCTGTCTGTCACTGCTGTAGGCCTACCTGGCGTTCAGTTAACATTAAATGAGCCATCTTAGTGACCCGTCGTGGTTATATTCACCTGTATTTATTCGCCTATGGCCACATCGCGAAAGGGAGCAGCCACAATATGCACCGGCCTCGCGAAGTCACTGATGTGCCTGGCTAGCCTTTACCTGACTGATAATAAGTCTTATGGTTATTCCTATTAGGAGAGGATTATATGAGTAAGAGTAATACATCCCAATCACAATTGTTTAGTTTGCTGTATTGCTCGTAATTGTTAACTGTCTGTAGGCAGTATTTTGCTTATTTTTTGTCATGTATTGTTTTTTTGTAAACAGCTTTGCAGCTTTTTCTTTCATGTACAGTATGTCATTGATAAGGTTGATGGTCTTGTAAGATTTATCTTTATATTATTTTGTGTTACTCTGAGATTATAAAATGACATACAGTTAAGCAATATCACATGAGGAAGAGTGTTTTCCCCAACTATCAGCTCCATTGAAAATCTTTATTGAACTGTAGTATAAAATCAATATAACAAGAAGTAAATTTTGAGTGAGTTTTACATTGTACCTATTTTCTCATTTTGCTTGATGAAGAGTCCAAACAAAGCCACAGCAGAACAGTGTCCTACAAGCAACACACAGCAGCCTTTCATATTGAATGATTCACTTTATTCCTCACTGAATGAATCTGCCATTTGAATGAATGATTTAATGTCTTACTCTAAAGATACTTTCCGCCACCTGCTGGCTGTTTTACTTTCATATTGTTGCTGTATTCTAACTTTATATATTTAAAACGTTAATTTTATAGTGTTATGCAATTATATATGTAGCTTGTTGCATATGTTGCATAGTGTTTATGTAAATGAACACAATATGCAAATAAATCATTGTGTACATGTCAGATACACCTGGCATCTGTAACTGTCTCCTCTGTAACACTATCACTTTCATTGATCAGTACATATAACGGTGTCCTGTATGGAAAGATGTTTCCCCGCTGACAGTTATCCATTTTCACCAAGTGAACAACACTGAGCATTGGCAGTTAAAGGGGTCATATAATGCAATTCAAATTTTCCTTTCTCTTTGGAGTGTTACAAGCTGTTGGTGCAATCTCTCTGATGACGTGCTTGATTCTGACTGAACGGTTCGGTCGGCCCATCCTGGGACCAGGCGGCTGGCCATAGCCGACTGGGCCAAATGCTTAACATTTATTTATTATTAACATTATTATTATTATAACCAGCCGGCCGTTCCTCACTCTAGCCCGCCGTGTGTGATGCTGTGTGTTTCGTTGTGAAAGCGAATCTTGTGCAATATATTTTTACTTGTGTTTTTAAATTTTGTTATTTTTTTTTATCCGTGACTGCAATACTTTAGATGGGAATCTGATCCCATATAAGATTAGCATGAACAAAATGTGTAAAGAATCATAAACTTTTGTTGGTCACAGATTATTTTCTGCAATAATCCAAAATGTCAAGGGAACTATAGGGTGATAGTCTTCTTACTTTTGGGTCAGCCTCACTATCGCCACCTTGTGACAAGGTATTATATTTTTAGCTGGTCTTCAGCCAGGGACGGACTGGGAGTAAAAAACGGCCCTGGATTTTATCCCAAATAGGCGCACCACAACTACAAACAGCCGCTACTATCTCACAATATTACAGCAATCAATGTATCGCATTTATGGCAAATAACATAACAAAACCCATGGTGACCCTGCTGAAAAAAACAATAGAAACATCACAGAAATTCTAATGGTTTCCATACCATTACAAACATTACAATTGAACAATTAATTTTGATCAATTGAAAAATTTACACATTTTGGGGAAGTCGTGGCCTAATGGTTAGAGAGTCGGACTCGTAACCCAAAGGTTGCGGGGTTTGAGTCTCATACCGGCAGGGATTGTAGGTGGGGGGAGGGAATGTACAGCGCTCTCTACCACCTTCAATACCATGACTGAGGTGCCCTTGAGCAAGGCACCGAACCCCCAACTGCTCCCCGGGCACCGCAGTATAAATGGCTGCCCACTGCTCCGGGTGTGTTCACGGTGTGTGTGTGTTCACTGCTGTGTGTGTGCACTAAGGATGGGTTAAATGCAGAGCACTAATTCCTAGTATGGGTCACCATACTTGGCCACATGTCACGTCACGTCACTTAATCAATTACAAATGATTACTTTTAATCATTAAAACCATTAAATAATGGTTTCCTGTAGTGTGTTTTGGGACATGTTCCATTAGGATTTAGTGGTTTTAACAACAATAATAATATTTAACAACAATAATAGGCAACCAATTACCAGTAGAGACCAATAAGGTCCATTACAATTTCCATTAAAACCAATACAATTTCCATTATAACCAGTAAAACCATTACAAATTTTATTGATGGTTTCTATTGTTGTTGTTTTTCAGCAGGGGATTGAAATAAATGTATTATTATATGAACTAAATTACTTGACATAATAATAAACATAAAATCTAGAAACCTGAAACTACAGAATTCTTCAATTTGAGTATTCATATGTCTGTATGTGTGTGTGTGTGTGTGTGTCATGTTAATCGGAGCAATCACCCAATAGACTACTTCATTTACTCTAATTTCTAACTCAGTATCTCTCAAGTGTAACCCGTTGTAGAATCGCTGCTGTCTCTTTATGAATGAATGGAATATTCATGTCAGAC